AGAATGACCTAAAAATATTATTTTAATATCTAAAAAACCGAAGCAGCACAAACTAAACTTTTTACAGCACAAACCAGCACAAACGGAGCACAAACGACTGATCATATTTTGACGACGTTTTGCATTGGGTGGGGGGCCAACTTCACGCAGGTTCTGAAAGGTATTATCTTCTAAACCACCTTAAAGCCTTGTTTATACTCGACGCGTCCGCAAGAGCGCGAAGTGCGCGCGGCAAAAATGACGTCATTGCGGTGTGGGCGGTCGTGCGCGTTGGGTGCGCAAGACCCCATTTCGCCTGGCGGTGTGCACGGCACTTTTTGTAACATCGCGCGCGGCGCCGCATCCGAAGATGAACGACTTCGAGCCGAATCTGGCCGAACTGGTGCGTCTGTATCAGCATGTTTATGATCCTTCTATACACAGAGACATATGCATTGATGGGCGACCATAAAAGCCTCTCATTTTTTGAATAGGAACACATTTACATTAAGCACCCAGTTTGCACTCTAAAGTAACTGCTTATATTTACAAAATAAGCCTACAATAGCAGAAGTAAGCCCTGCTGATGAAATTAAGGTTTAAACACTCTTCAATAAGGCTTCAGTTGTTTACTAGTTTACATGCAGTGAAAGTACAATAAACCTACTGCATTTATTACTCTTTTTATATGAATCAGAAATTAATAAACTACTAATAAATGGCAAACTACTTCTTCACTGCTGATTCCTGGTGGTTTAGAGGAGAATTACTCCGAGTCGCCCCCTGTCGTTTCACAGAATAGCACAACGGCGAGCGCGTCAAGTATAAACGCCTCGTCCATATGGAGAGGTCCGCGCGCAGTCAGCGGAGACTCGCGCTCGTGCGGACGCGTCGAGTATAAACAAGGCTTAATGCCTGTCCCTGAAAACCAGTATAATTTTGTAGTTGATCTAAGAGTATTTTATGATCTTTGGTGTCGAACGCAGCACTAAGATCAAATAAAACTAGTATTGAGATAAAGCCTTGGTCAGAATCTAGAAGTAGTAAGTCATTTGTAATTTTGAGCAGTTTCTGTGCTATGATGGGGCCTGAATCCATACTGAAATTTTCATATACTGTATATCTTATCATATATATCATATTTTTGCAAGAAGGAGCACAATTGAGCGGACAATTTTTTTCTAGTATTTTAGAGATAAATTAAATTTTTGAAATGGGTCTGTAATTTGCTGATTCATTTGGAACTAATTTTGGTTTCTTAATGGGAGGCTTAATGAGAGGCTTAATAACTGCCAGCTTGAACGGTTTTGGGGCATTACCTAGGGATAAAGACAAGTTGATAATATTGAGAAGAGGCTTTTCTGCTAGAGGTAACAACTCATTCAGTAGTTTAGTGGGTATTGGATCTACAGTAATAAACATGTTGTTGGTTTAGATGCAATGAAACGTTTATTAAGCTCTTCCTGTCCTTTAGTTGTAAATCACAGCAATTGTTCCTGAGGGACGATAATTGAGGTTGAATCATAAAACGCTGTCAAAGGTTGAACATTTACAACTGTATTCCTGATGTTCAATGTTCTCTGTGAAGACATTTATAAAGTCATTACTACTAAACTGTAATTAAATATTCAGTTCAGCTGATGATTGTTAATTTCTTAAATAATACTGTACTAAACGAGAACCTTGGATTGTTTTGGACATTTTCTATTAGATTACGGATATGCTCGCCCTGGCTGCTTTTAGAGCCTTTTTGTAACAGGAAGTGCTGTCTTTCCACGCGATTCTAAAGACCTCTAAATGAGTTTGTCTCCTTTTGCGCTCTATAATACGAATTTCTCTCTTGAGAAACAGCGCAAGTAATGCTGTTGTACCATGAATTACATTTATCTCTGACCTTTTTTTTGTACTAGAGGATGAACAGGTGTAACGTAAGTCCTGGGAAAAAATTTAAAATTGTGTTCATGTAGAGAAATTGAAGTACATTTTGGAAAAATGTCGTCTCAGATTTTAGTCCAGTCGGCTGAACTTCTGAACTGAATGAAACCCCCAGGTCCCGTTCCCACAACGGATTCAAAGAATCCGAATACACCAATAGGGCATTAATTAGTAAATGTATTCTTCCAATTCTGACGAGTTTAAACGGGTCAGTGGTGTGTCGGCACTGGAGTGAAGGAGGCCTGGGATGATCGTGTTCTGGGTGCACGGGCCCTGTGCAGAGAAACACACGGAGTAGAGGAAGTCAGAGTGATATCATTACTTACCACGGACCAGAGTGATATCATTACTTGTGAGCGTCAGCCCACGATGTTTCTAGTGCTGATTGCCGTTACCATAGCTCGGCCTGCTTCTCTATTAGGTTGTGGATCTGCTTCTCCACGGCCTCCAGCTCCAACTGCACCACGTGCAGCTCTTATGTGTCCCCACATGTGTCCTCTTATGTGTCCCCACATGCACTCAAAGGTAGACACAGATCCGATACATTCGGATACAACAGATAAACATTTAATGATAAGAGTGTAAACAAGACAAGTGATGGCCGAGACCACGCTAGTGATGCTAACGGGCTACAGCTAGAAGCAGATGTTTGGAAAGTTGGATAAAAGTAACGATATCAAAGCAATCCAATGTAGAATATGTTCCATCTCTCAAAATAAAAAAAGATTTTAAAAAAGAAAGTTTTTTAATTTGGATCCTGTAAGTGGGTTGCCATCATATTATTTTGGTCACCATCTGATGGAAATTTACAAAGCTAATGTACTTTGAGACAAAGGAAACATATCTTGGTCTACTGCTCTTTCATTTTTCACAGACAGAAGTTGACTTCTTTACAGTTTACTTGAAAAAGACCTCAGGCACTGACTCTTGTTTGCATTTGTAAAAACACTTGTGTCTGAACAAGTCTGTAAAATTCAGCATCCTCCTTTTAATTTAATTTGTATACAGCCCTGAGCAGGAGAAGATGTCATCAATTTGTTTAGTGCATTTCCCCATCTCATAAATTATATTTATATTATTCATAAATATATAAATATGTATTTTGACCTGTGAGTATTGTAATTAGCTACATTTATTGTTGTGCTACTTGGTGCACTTTCATGTTTTATTTAGGCCTTTTTGTTAAGTTTTGCCTACGTAATCGAAAAGAGAGTCCCAAGGACCGCAGTGGCCAAAGTCAGGCAAAATAGCAGAGTAGCAAAGTAGCAAAGTCAGGCAAAATTTACATTGGATTTACATTTGGATTTCTTGACAAATTTTCAATGTGTTTCTTAATGCACACATCTATAGCATATGTGCTTACATCATAACCACATCCAGACAATAGACAGTTTTATTTTTAGTAATAACCACAGGTCAAAAAGCCATCCAAATCGGTACACAGTACACAATCAGATATGGACTAAAAGCCATAAAATTCCAATTATGTTATGGGTTTTTATCTCAAACAGGTTAGTTCTATATGACACTACATTTTATTTTAATCTTGAGACAATAGTCTCAAGTTTTCAATCCGCTCAATATTCAGAGCAGTTACATACGTAGAGGGAATACATTTAAGCTAAATGCTCTGTATCTCTACATTTAATCAGGAAAAGCAAACAGTGAGCTTAGGTTTTCAGGTTTCCGTGGCACCTTGAAAAAAGCTAGAAAATGTGTTTGAGAAAAAGGGGTCTGCTAAAAGCCCTGTAATTGCACCTTTCTGACAGAGAGCCTCAATGATGGGTGGTTCACTGACAAGACTCAAGCCTTTACCAGGCAGCAGAAAATTCCATTAATCATTATAGAGCAGATACAGCCTCAATATTGCTGACAAACAAGAGAGAAGCAAAAACTAGAGGTGCAAAAAGACAAAGAGAATGAAAGCAAGACTAAGTGACACTGTAAGAGAGAGGAAGGAACAAAAGGGGGCAGAGGATAAGAGAGAAGGAAAAAAAAGAAAGACTGTGCTGTAATTTTGGAACACCTATGCCACTGCTGGGGCGACTGTAATGCCAAAAGTACCTATACCTAAATAACAATGCATGTTTAGTCATGTAAAACATTGTAATCATTTCAAATACAAGTTGTAATTGCTGCCTAACACGTTTGTTGTCTCTGGTTAACTTAATACATGATGTTAACTAACCACATAACTTGTGTTATATTATAGCTGTATTTATGTATTTACATATGGACATTTAACACCCTTATAACAGAATTCTAATTGTAACACTGAAACGAGCATTTGTAAAGGTTCTTTGAAACAATATGTGTTAAGTGCTATACAAGTAAGCTTGAATTGAAATGACACAGTCATGTGATTGATATAGGCAAAAATAATCAAGATGATGACCCATGTTGTACCACCACTTTCATTGTGTTGTTAACGTCGGCATCACGTGGGAGTTGTGATAGTCTTTTCTTCCCTATTGTGACGGATATCCGACTGAAATGGCTTCTCGAACAAGAAAAAAAATTAGGGCGGTTCCTGGCCAGTACTTGAAAATTTAGGACGGCACTTGATTTGGATTGAATCTGTCATGTGGGTGGAGGAACGAACCCAAGCGCAGACAGCAAATAACTCAAAACGGGGTTTATTGATGACAAAACAGAAAACAAAACCCACGATGGGGCAAAACAAGACAGGTTAAACTAATAAAACACCTTTACAAAACGAGACGGTCAAGAGGTACTCACAGCTTGATACGATAGACAAGATTCACAGAAACTGGACAAAGATCTTGACAATGAACCGACAAAGGACAGCAAACACAAGGGGATAATATAGGGAGACACTAATGACACGAACAGGTGAAACTGACTAGACAATAATGACAAGACGAGGATAACAAGGGGGCGGGGTTACATAACGAGACAACACAAGCACATGGCCCAAACAACAGGCCATGCGCTTGTACACAAAACATGGTTCTGCCATGATCCTGCCACAAGCCTAGGAAAATCTAGAGCATGATGGCAGAATCATGACATGAATCACTGGATTGATGTTGTTTGCTATTGCTGCGATCTCATGTGACTGACAGGTTGTCTCGCGGCTCGCCTTCGCACCAGTAAACACATCATCAGAGAAGAGATGTAGTTGCAAGAGAGAGGGTAAGTTATTTTGATTAAAGATTACAAAGGCATTTGAAAAAATATATATAAATAAGGGCATGGATATATTATAAATTAATCATATATAAATACTGCAATATTTCATGGAAAACAACAACTGTTCATTTTGATTTCTTTGTGACTTTAAAGATGAATGTTACTTTGTATAATATTCATATTGAATTATAGAAAAGATGAGAAAATATTTATTTGTAATTGCTGCCCTTCAGCAAAACATGAGGACAGTTGCATTTTAGACCATACATGGAATGGTGATTTTGTGTGCAACCAGGACACACAAGTGCAAAATGACTATGCCAGAATTGTGACATGACAGCTTAATTATATGTCTGGTCTCTCTGTATCATTTCAGTGAGCTTTTTTTGGAGGTTTGACACATGTGAAGTAAGGTGAGTTAAGCATTTTTAAATGTTTCGGTGTGGAGGAGCAACATTTTTTTTTTTTTTTTAAGAGCTAGTGTAGATAAAGAGAATTGGTAACACTTTAGTTTAGGGTCCAATTCTCACGATTAACTAGTTGCTTATTAGCATGCATATTACTAGGATATTGGCTGTTTATTAGTACTTATAAAGCTCATATTAATGTGTAATGCCTTATTCTGCATGACCATATTCTACATCCCAACTGCATCCGCTTCCCAGTCTGCTCCTTTGCCTGCCTGCCTGAATGAATCCTATCCAATACCTAAACTTGCCAACTACCTAAATATTAATAAGCAGTAGCTACTAGCTAATTTGGAATTAACGGAGACAAAAGTCATAGTTAATAGTTATTTTTGAGAATTGAATGCAAAACTTAAGTGTGACCATAAGAAAAAAAAACTTTCTCGTCATACAGGTGGATGGAGATGTCAAATGATTCACATTAAAGACTTTACCAGTATTTTAGTAGTGATGTATCTTACCGATAAAAAGACGGAACGCCATTGGACTGTGACTACATTAGTCCTTTCATATCAAAACAATCATTTATCACAGATCAGGCTTTAGAATTAACGTGTTGCGGAAGTGTGTTTGCTTTTGTGTTTAATTGTGACATAAATAAGTATGCCCAAATGACATGATCAGGCACTTTGTTGAAAATAAACAATCCTAAATATTAAATAATAATAAATCCTAAATCTTAAATTATTTATCCTATTACAGTGCATAGTCAACTTTAAGGAATTTAAGCCAACTGTAATAATTAAATCTGTCATCGTCCCTCATGTTGTGCATTTCTTTCTTCTGCAGTACACAAAAGAAGATATTTTGAAAATTTTTGGAAGCAGTTTTAGTGATATTCGTTGCATAAAAAAATAAAAAATAAATCACAGAACAAAGAAAGAAAGTAAATACAGGTTTGGAACAACATGAGAGTGGGTAAATTATGTTCATTTTGGGTGAACTATATACTTTTAAGAATCCTGACCAGACAGCAACATTGCCTCAACCAATAGTGTGTGCTAGGTTGGGACTGTTTGTCTGACTAATGGCAGATGGGGGAGTGTTCAGAAACCCTAAGAAACAGCATTTTTGGTGACATTTGGTGACATGACCCACTTCTCCTTTCTTGTTGCTAATCACAACACATTATCCAAAAAGTCGACATGAAATGTAATTTGCGATAGTCTTTTCTTCCCTATTGTCACTTATATCCAAGTTAAACGGCTTCAACAAGAAAAAATGTAGGGTGGCACTTGATTTTGATTTTAAAGTGGGAATTGATTGGATCGTTGGATCATTGTCATTTGCTGTTGCTGTAATCGTATATGAGTGACAGGTTGTCCCACCCTCACTCCAGTAAACACCTGCTCAGAGAAGAGAATTGATATCGCTGCATGAGGGAGAATAACTTGATTAAAGATTGTGAGGGAACACAAATAAAAATAATAATAATGATGATGTGCACATACATAATTTATAATAAATATGGTAATATTAAAAAACAAACAAACAATAATTGTCAATTTTGATTTAATGGTTACTAAAATAAAGAAGACCCATCAAAATTTACAATGTTAAATAGTTTTATTGTTAAATTTCTTAAAATGCATATAGTTTACAAAAGGCAAAATCAGGGTTGAAATTAACAAGAAGAGAGGAAAAACATCCATACAGCACTGTCTTGAGAGTCCATGCTCTGATATAGGAAAGCATTCAGTGCGCATGATGAGTGTTCCTAAAAAACAACCTGCATTTATAATTAAGGACTACATATAAATTCGTCGAGGTGAATCACTTTGAAAAAATTGTGACGATCTTTAAAATATCTGAACACAGAGGCTCTCTCTGCTCTGAGCATGTGGTCTTTGTTTGAAGTTTGTGTGGCTGAATCCATTCAGCTGTCACTGAAAGACAGCAGCAGCACTAGAGTCAGTCCACTCAGAGTGTGCCACTCGGTACAGGCGGGCGATTCTTCATCTCTCTTTCTCTCTTCAGTCCAGGATGGCAAAATAACACGGTGAAGGCGGATAGATCAGCAACTGCGTATGGGAGACTGTTATTACAGTAAGTTTATTTTCCACTAGAGTTAAACACTCTAGACACACGCTTGTAAATGCGTATTGGTAAAATTAAAGTGAATCGATCGGAGATGTGGAGAGCTGTCCTGCTGCTGCTCACCGGCTGCGTGTGTGCGAGTGTGCCCGAGGAGCCAGCGGACAGAGCGGCTCCATCTGACGGCTACTGCAGCTGGATAACGCGGGCTCAGCCGCACGGAGCTGGAGGCAGGAGAGAGGGCTTCAATGAGTTCAGACTGCGAGTAGAAGGAGACCCGGAGCATTATCATCCCGGAAGCACTTATCGAGGTAGCCTACATATCACTATTTAAGCTGTTGTTAGTGCCAGAGACGCTTCACAGGCGCGCGCTGGAGATTTGTTTTGTGTCTCAAAAACTAGCTTATATATTTTTTATAGCTACAGTAGCTGGATAAACAGTAATAACAACACCACATTAGCATTCACCAAGAATGTTATTAGATTTTAATTGTTTTCAGGACAGTGGTATATCAGTGTCAGGTCAAGGCAAATTGTCATTTTTATACTAGGGAACATTGTCACATAGTTAATTTTAAATTCATTTATTAACTATTGTCTATTTTCTTGTAATTAACCATTCTGTTTTTGCGGTTTTATAAATTGTTCATTTGAAGTGCTGCTGAAAGCTCTTATATAACTTTTAAATACAGATGTCATAAAAGATGACTTGATTTAAAGGTGCAGTAAGTGATCTCTCAGAATTGTTGTTGAACACTGTTGATATTTGAAATCAACCTAAACACCCCCCCCCCCCCCCCCCCCCCTCTTAATTTCTCTGCCTCCAAAATTCACAAACACTTTACAGCCCGCACATAACAGCCTTGCTCCAAGCTGCTGTGTTGCCAAGTCCGCTATTTTCCCACGGAATTGGGCTACATTTAAGTTGTTGCCGTGGGTAACCTTTTTTTCTGAGGGTTTATTTCCACCCCCGTAAGTACGATTTCGGCACTCCAACACCCCCAAAACACCCAAGACTTACAAATTTAGTGGAGAATTTGGCCCCCCATGGAGAAAATAGCATTGGGAAAAATAGCAGTAAAAATTTAGTTTTGACTGGCCATTGGGCTACTTTTGATGCACAGACCTGGCAACCCTGCCGAGCTGGTCTCGAATGCGCCAACAAGGACCCTAAACATAGCATTCTCTAGTCTAGTGTTACTAGCTAGCCTCCGTTACATTCAATGCAAGAGTGGATGTATTTATCATAGCAGAAGCGAAGAAAAATAGTGCTTCATGAAAAATAAAGCAAAGATGATGAACGAACAACAAGGAAGCACAAACAAATGAACATACAGTACACAAGAGTAAATACAAGCAACACTTTCTTTAAATCTCCCTCTTGCTCACTCTCTGTCTTCCACCATCATATGCACCCTATAATGCTGATTGGCTACACATTTGTTGTGGTGCTCGGTCCGACCAACTTTTCAACAGCATTTTTGAAAAACTGCTTACTGCACCTTAAATAGGCAGTGTTGTCATATTTCTTTAAAAAAAAAAGCCTTGTCAGCTAGCCCTGCTCTCCCCTATGGGACTGTAGATTGTTGTATGCACATGGTGTCAAAATTCTGTCTAATTAGGTAGTCTAGTGTACAAGGTTTTGAGACATGATAGGAATACTGCAGATAATGTCAGGTTTAAAAGACACTTAACTTGTGTATCTTTTTACCTACACCAAAAAAACAGGATTTTATAATACATTACACAAACTTTTACTAATAGGTCATTATCAAACATTATTTAATCATAGATCAGTAGTCCATAATCTCCATATATATAGTTTCATGTATAATTTGACTATGCAAATCAAAGTTTTATAATTTTTTCTAACCATTTGTACCGTTGCATTGACCAATGATCTGTTTATATGTCTTAAAATGTACACTACCGTTCAAAAGTTTGGGGTCAGTGAGAATTTTATTTTTATTTTTTGGAGGAAAGAAATCAATACTTTTATTTATCAAGGAATAATTAATTTGATCGAAAGTGACAGTAAAGACATTTATAATGTTACAAAAGTCTTTTGAACTTCCTATTCATCAAAGAATCCTAAAAAAAAAAAAAAAAACTGTACAACTGACAGACCAACAACTGTTTCAACATTGATAATAATAATAAATGTTTCTTGAGCATCAAATCCTCATATTATACTGATTTGTGAAGGATCATTTGACACTGAAGACACTGACACTGGTGATGCTGAAAATTCAGCTTTGATCACAGGAATAAATTACACTTTACTATATATTCACACAGAAAACAGCTGATTTACACTGGAATAATATTTAATACTATAACTGATTTTTGTTGTATTTTTAATCAAATAAGCGCAGCCATGGTTAGCAGAAGAGAATTCTTTTAAAAGTATTTAAAATCGTACCGACCCCAAACTTTTGAACGGTAGTGTATGTTTAGCCCCTTTCACACAGAGATTCCGGAAAATACACGGATAAAGTGACCCGGGATTTGACCCGGGTTCGTTTGATTTTGCTTCATTCACACTGCCAGTGATTTGCCGGAATCAGAGAGCGCGTTCACACACAACCCGTGTATGTTCCGGAAAGACGCGTGACGTTGGATGTGACGGGTCTCTACTTCAGTCCAGTTTGCAGACATTTTTTCGTTCTTTCTTGTATCGATGACGAACACAAACTTTCTTCTAGAGTAACTGAGCCGCACGATAACTACGTCATTGCAAAGGCTCGTGAATCCTCACTACGACACACCGCTTATACGGCATTGGTTCTGGCTTTTGTTCACACAGCGCGCGTTCCGGGTCTGAACACGGCAATGTTACTAGGTCCCCAACCCGGCATCGATCCCGGCATCAATCCCGGGTCGTGTTTGCGTTCACACAGAAGGCACTCTGGCAATTTGCCGGGTTCAAAGCACTGTGTGAAAGGGGCTTTTGAAAGATTTTGTAGATAAGAAGCATTTGAGCATAAAGTATAGAAAGAAGAAAAAGTATTGTAAATACAAGTTTGTTACGCTGAGGTTGAAGCAGGATCCAAATGCAGCACGATTTATTCAATACACTCAAAACTACACAAAAACTAGGGAACAGGACTTGGGAACAGGACTTGGGAACAGGACTTGGGAACAGGACTTGGGAACAGGACTTGGGAACAGGACTTGGGAACAGGACTTGGGAACAGGACAACCAACATCAATGGAACAACGACAAGAACTCACAAAGACTGAACTAAAACACAGAGTTTAAATACAATGGCAAACAAGCTAAACAAGATAACAAGGGGGCGTTGCTAATCTGAAACACCTGGGGAGACTAATAAACATAACAGGGAACTGCTAAACATGAAAAGACAGGGGAACACAGACTGACATCACAACATTGTTAGAGTTGTTGTTTTTTAAACTACAAAAGAAGTGAAATTTGGGAGGACAGAACCCATCTAATCGTTCAATGAACTGCCAGAGCATATACGCAGCACACACCTTGCTCTGGCATCAGCTGTTTCAGCATCCCTTCACACCAGAGCTCAAGTTGAAACAGTTTTCTTGAGCCCCTTAGCTGTGAACAAGTCAACAAACTTTAACCTCAACAGCTAAAGATTGTATGGGCAAACACACTCGTGAAATGCTAACAATTCTGTAACAGATACCTGATATAATTGTAGGTGTTTTATTGATTTTGATCACCTGTGAAATTAACCAGAAAGGTCATGTTGAATAATTATTGTGATTTATTTCCAGTAACCCTGTATGCAACCAACCCTGCATACTTCAGAGGCTTTACTCTTATCACTCTGAAGGAAGGGCACAATGGTGACCATGAGGAGGATTATGCTGGAAATTTCCAGGTGAGATGCATCACATGTTTCACATATACAGCATTTAATACAATATATGGCCCATGTGGTAATTACATTTTATGTTTAATTTAAAGGGATAGTTTATCCAAAGAGAAAAATTCTGTCATTAATTACTCACCCTCATGTCGTTCCTAATCCTAACCCATAAGACTTTTGTTCATCTTCTAAAAACAAATGAAGACTTTTAAAAAGAAACCTGACAGATTTCTGTCCCTCCATTGAAAGTCCATGCAACCAAAAGCTTGACGCTTCAAAAAGTTCGTAAAGACATTGTAAACATAATCCATATGTCAAGCAAATACGATTGAGCTTCCGTTTACCTTATTCATTTTATTTTTTTAGCTCAATATATGTGCATTGACCAATGTATGTGAATAAAAGCTTAAATTAAATCTGTTCATGATATAAAGTGATCTTATCTCTTCAGAAGACTTTAATTAAACTGCTCAATTCATATGGATTACGTTTACAATGTCTTTGTGAACTTTTTGAAGAGTCAAAATTGCAAGGACTTTCAATGAAGAGACAGAAATCTCTTCTTTCTTGAAGATAAACTAGTCTCATGGGTTTGTAATGACATGAGGTTGAGTAAATGAAGACAGCATTTTTATGTTTTGGTGAACTAACCCTTTAAAGGAAAATTTTATCTAATTTTATTATGTTGGGCGGGCCTCTACTTGATGTCCAAAGAGCACTAATTAAGTATAAATCCTTATAGATTTCACAGTTGCATTAGACAGGATCTCATGAATATTATGCACCTTATAGTCCTTCTGGGACAATGAATTAGAGAAGATTCCACAAATATAAAGCCGATGGTTTAGTTTGTATTAAGGCAGTCCTGATTGCCTGGCTGTGGGATCTACTGTACTCCCTTTGTGTGCTGGAGCCAAGCTCAGATTCAGCCACACCTGGCAAAGCTCTTACATCAACACCATATGCTGCCTCTCCGCACGAGCTCTCATGCTATGCCAGAGAGTGGAAACGGAACAAAAAAGGCCCATTAAATGTCACATAAACCATAAATCTCAGCTCCCTGCAGAAATGCTCTGCTCAAACCTGCTCTTGCACAGAAGAGATTTCTTGTCTTTCTAGTGGGATGTATGTATAACAGTGGTTCTTAAATGGTTTTGTTTCAGGTACCAGATTAAACATTTACAGTTACAATTGTGATGAACTCAATACAACTCCATACCAAAATTGTTCAGCATTAAAATGTAATCAAAAATATCTGTAAAATAAATTATAATTTATTAAGAACTATGTTGGACCAGCAACATGAAAGATTTTGATCGTTTTATGCTTTTGAAAGAGTGTCCTTGAACACATTTTTTGCAATGATCACTCAAATGTGGAGATAAAACCCTTATAATGATGTGACAAAGATATGTAATGGAGGCAGGGTGAATTATAGATTGAGAATGATACATTTGAGCTGGAACCAAACTATTTTGCATTGCATGGTCTATTCTATATTATATTATAAATAAGGTAGCATTATCTTCACTAATGACTTTTTTCCTTTCCTTTTTCTTTCTTTACCAGTGGTGGAAAAAGTACTCAGATCTTTAACTAAAGTAACAGTAATAAATGTGAAAGTACTCATTACGCAAAATGGCCCTATATGAAGTGTTATAATTATATAAATTATTGAAATATTGCTTGATGTTGTAACGTAGCGTTATAGGCAGAATGGGCTAACTCCTTGTCTACACCTAACACGGCCGTTTTTGCTCACGTCGCAACAGCTAAAATCTGTTTACGCTGATCAGTTTACTGTCTGAGAAATACAAACTAACTATATAACTGGAATTTGAAAAAATAATTCCTTAGCGTAATGGTTTAGAGGTCAATCTATCACTGTTTTCCATTTTCGTAGAGTTAGTTTGTGGAGTAAATATAGGCTATAATCTGTGTGTGTACACAGCTTTTTTTTTAAATGCTGGGTGCCAGTGTTTCGCGTGTGTTTCGACCAATCAGCATACACTTACGTCACTGGTAGTTCCTATTATGAAAAGGTTCCTCTGGTGCGAAAGCCCCTAGTGAAAAGCTTATCAAAGAAAGACAGTCATATGACTAAAACCAAATGGCGTGCTTCCCTTTCTAACACAACTTGAATTTGAAGAATTCTAAAGAAACTACACTGTTAGACTTTTCAAGCGTTTTTTACAGTAACTTACTGGCAACACTGTTGCCAGTAAGTTACTGTAAATAAGAGTTACAGTACCATACTTCAGTTTTACAGTAACTACGTGGTACTGTAATTGTGTAATACAGTGCATTACTGTAAAAATCAAGCTAATCAGTACACTACTGTAATTATTTTTATTTGTACTAAATATAAATTAGATTTCATAATTTTAATATAGAATTAATTTTTATTTTTATTCTACTTAAGTACTACTGACATTCAAATCAATTAGACAAAATTATTACAAAACACCTTTTTTTTTTATTTAAAACATTTCATATACATCACAAAATAAACAGTCTGCCAATGCTGGAAATTATGTTACATTTTTGTACATTAATGGGTGAGTTTAGGGTTTTGTGTTAATTTTAACAAAGTAAATATGTCAGAAAGGTTAGCACAAAGATGTGTAAACATGTTAAATGAACACATTATGTGCTGTCCATCACTGCACACACTGTTAAAAAAAGTACATAAAATCCTAAACAAAACGTTAGCATTTGACAAAATAATTGTAGAGGCATTGGTTGTTTAGCTTATACAATTATTATAATGAAATAGCACCCATTACATTCATAAAACTGCAGAATATAAACACATTAAGCAGTCAAAAAGGAAATGTCCAACACAGGGCAATACACAGTTCTTATTATCAGACATTATCAATGTCTGACTGTCTACTCCATCTTTTTCCACAGCATAGGAGTAAAAGTCATCATCAAAATATTCTTTAAAAAGCCAACACAATGTTTTTGTCCACCTTTGTGAATAAATTAACTTCTCCAAAGATTGGTTCCGGTTCAGAACTTGACTGACAACATCAGAATGTTCCCTGGTCTGTATGCGTGTCCACAAACACAAATGTACTCAGTCCTTCAGAGGAGATCCTGGTTCCAACACTATGAGTGTGAGTGTGAGTGTGAGTGTGAGAGTGAGAGTGAGAGTGAGAGTGAGAGTGAGAGTGAGGAAAAATCCATATTAGGTTTTTTTATACATTTTTATTATTATTTACTAAAACCTAAGAATATATAGCCTATTTGTAAATATCTTTTTGTCAATTGCATTTTCAAACATTTCAGATTAACTAAATTAAATTATGCCAGATTAAATTTTAATACTTACATATCCTAAATTCTGTCCAAAAATGCTGAGATCCATAGAGAGAAAGACTGAAATCGATGTTTTAGCCCATTTCAGCTTGTCTGCAGTGAAGGGGTTCCTGTTTGAGACAAATACACAGTAAGACACATGCAAGAAATCACTGAGTGATGATCGTTCTCCTTCCAGTAGTTAACCCACCTTTGCGCTGATACTAGGACCTTCCTGGTCAGGTGGGACTGCAATGGTAGAGTCTTCTGCCTAATAAAATATCAAAATAATGTAAATATATATATATAATCTTGAGTTATTCAAATACTAGATTTGGTATGAATGAATTAGTGAGAGTTTTAATGCAATGCTTACCTGGATACATTTAATCTGGTGAGACTGAACATAGAAAATGGTCCATCTTCTGATTGGTTAATTTTCTGTGTAATAAATCTGTTAGACATGATGCAAAGGTCACTTAGCCTATTTGATATAAAGTTAGCCAATTTTATAGAGATTTTATAAGATATTGTATGCTACCTACACAAGTGGTTCCAAAGCACTTATCACATAATGCTAATCATTTTAGCAAACTTATGTCAATATATATTTAAAAAAATATATGATTTCAATTACAGTTTAAGCTTACCTCGGGAATCTTGCTAGACGTCACTGGCGCGAATTGGCGCTTTGTTGCAGTTGCCTTTTTAAACACATACAAAATTGCAGTAAATATCAAATTCCATTAAAAAAATAAATATATAATATGTTATAGTTTGCAATGCTAAAACTAGAAAGGTGTCCGCTGGCCATAAAACTTGTTAACCAACATACAAGGTTATTTTCTCAACAGTAGGCCAACTCTGGCAACAACCAAGACAGAATTTCACATTAGTTTATTTCAATAATCTAACAATTCAATTCAAGAATCTAACAAAGTCTGTAAAATGAAACGTTAGCGCAGTTTACCGTGGTAAGTTCGTTACTGCCATGTTGACGAGTAGGCCTATAATGTTAAACTAGTGTGCACAAACCTGTCAACACACACAGAATGTTTTTTACCTTGCTTTCTGGACTCTCTCTCGGTGAAGTGAATTCCGTCTCTTCCCCGGGCCAGACACGAACGGCACAGTCCAAAAAAAGACAGTCAGAACCCAGTGATATTAGGCTACACTGGATGCTCCGGCACGACACGACAAATCCCAGACAGCGCTGTTATATTTCTGACTTACAGTTCTCCGAGTCCAAGCGCTGCAGTAATGGTCCGGTCACGGTGTCCAATATAGAAAGCCTCTGACTGTTATAACGTAGACACGCGGTGTAAGGCAAAAATTAGGAAATAAAAAGCACGATGGAATGGTGCCAGTCAGAGAGACCGTTACGTTAAATACAGTTGTATACTGCAAATTTAAAAAATACAGTAAGTGTCAGGATACAGGCTCGGAGACAGAGGTAAGTGAATGAACATAAAGCTTTATTAATTAGAATAAAGTGCAATGGTGAGTCTTTCAGAGTTCAAGGGAGAATTCGGTGAAGATTACGGTGCGAGAAGGATTCCAGGTGAGTAGATCCTCTTCAGATTATCCAATGTCAAACAACACAGTTCAGTGATACTTGTCTTTTCTCTTATAGATGAAGCCACGAGCAGGTTGAACTCAGGAGGAATACTAGTTCTCAGGATACACGGGTTCAAGCAAGGATTCTGGAA